TGCCACCATCCCGGCTGATATTTGTATTTTTTAGTAGATTTAGGGTTTCACCATGTTTGTCAGACTGGTCTTGACCTCCTGACCTCAGGTGATCCACCTGTCTCAGCCTCCCAAAGTGTTGGGATTACAGGCATGAGCCACCGTGCCTGGCCTCCTTTAGTATTTCTTGCAACACAAATCTACTGGCTTTCATTGATAAAAAAGTCTAATTAGCTTTCATTTTTGAAGAATATTTTTGCTGGATATAGAATTCTGGCTTTACTTTTTTTTCCTTTATCACTTTAAGAATATTGTTCTGTTGTATTCTGTCCTCCGTTGTTTCTGATGTCAAATAAGCCATCATTTGTGTCTTTGTTCCCTGTATATGAAGTGTTATTTTTGTCTGAATGCTTCAAAGATTTTTAAGTTATTTTTGTTCTCAGCAGTTTGAGTACAATGTGCCCTGATATAATTTTCTTTGTATTTCTCCATCTTGAATCTGTAAATTAATATTTTCCATCAAAATTGGGAGAAGTTCAGCTTTGATTTAAAAAAAATTTCTGCCACATTTTCTTTCTCCTATTCGTCTGAACTCTGTGCATGTGTTAGGCTATTTGGTTTTGGCAATGAGGTCACTGAAACTTTGTTCATTTTTTTCCACGATTTTTTCCTTTCTGTTCTTTAAGTTGTATAGTTTCTATTGCTCAGTATGCAAGTTTACTCTTTCTTCTGTGGTTTCCAGTCTCTTGTCAAGCCCATCCAATGAGTTTCCATTTCAGATATTCTTCTTTTCACCTCAAGAATTCCATTTGGTTCTTTTTTATAGTTTCCATCGCACTGCTGATATTTCTCCAGGCTAATATTTCTCAATATGGACATTTTCCCCTGAACTCTATGAATATATAATATGAATTATAATAGCTTCTTTAAAATCCTTGTCAGCTAATTCTAATATCTGGGTCATCTCAGGGTTTCTATTTATTGCTTATCCTCCTCATCATGGTCATATTTTCCTGTTTCTTTGCATGTCTGGTAATTTTTTTATTGTATATAACAAAATGTGGATGATACACTATAGAGACAGAAGAATGCTGATTTTGAATCTAGCAGGAAGTTGAATGAATGACTGATCTTCTTGTTCTTGTGAAGGCATCAGTTTATGCTTTTTCTGGACAAGTCTGTTTTGGCTATACTTGAGTCTTAGAGCAAATCCTTAGTCCTGAGACAGACTTTACACCTAAAGCACAACATTTTAAGATTTCACTGGATAAAAACAAGGTGTTTATCAAGTCCCTCTAAATTTGTGACATTCAAATTCCAACCTCTGTCTCTCATGTGACAAACGGCAGCTGAAATCTCTGTTCAACTTTTTGAGACTTCCAGCTGTTTCTTTCCACTAGGTTCCTTGGAATGTCTCATGAATATATACATTTCAGGGATCAAAGATTTGAGGGAAGTTTATATGCATATTTTGCATTTTTACATTGAAGTTTCTTCTTTTTGAGATTTCCACCCTCAATTTCCAGCCTCTGACTCCTTCTCCTTGACACTTCAAGCCAATATGAGCATGCATTTCTGTTTGAGTTCTAGTTACCTCCTGATGCATGAATTGTTAAATAACTACAGTGAAGGCTGGGCACGGTGGCTCACGCCTGTAATCCCAGCACTTTGGGAGGCCGAGGCAGGTGGATCACGAGGTCAGGAGATCAAGACCATCCTGGCGAACACAGTGAAACCCCATCTCTACTACAAATACAAAAAATTAGCCTGGTGTGGTGGTGAGCTCCTGTAGTCCCAGCCACTCAGGAGGCTGAGGCAGGAAAACGGTGTGAACCTAGGAGGCGGAGCTCGCAGTGAGCCGAGATCGTGCCATTGCACTCCAGCCTGGGCAACGAAGCAAGACTCCATCTCAATAATAATAATAATAACAACAACAACAACAACAACTACAGTAAAAAGTCAAGTAAGAGTAGATCTCATGTAGTACTCTTCACTTCTTTTAAAGGTTGAATACCTTCCTTTGGTTTCTGCCTTTTTTTGTCATATTCCAGCATTTTTTCTTTAATATTTTATATTTTATCATTGCTCTCTATGTAAGGGCTATTACGATACAAGCTACTCCACTATACTTGTAATTATACTTTCATCTTAATAACTTTTTCTGGGTTTTCTAAATGGGTTGGTGGGCGGGACCAATTATTAAGTCATATATTTTGGTCCTCAAAATATAGTAAACCCAGTAATATGCTTCCAAATCAAAATAGTCAAACTACAGAGATCTGTTTATTCATGACTTCAGACTCAGAATTTGGGCTGTTCAAGTTCCAAGCTCAACATCCCAATACTGAATTGATTCTTCTGGCCATCTATATATAGTGACAAATGACAAATTCTATGTTAGTCTCCCCCACCCTTTTTTTTCTAACAATGTCTCTTGATTTCTTTACATTATTAGGACATCTTCACCTCAGTATTTCTCAGAATTGAAGAAACATGGCATTTGGCTTTAATTTTCATGAAGTCCTCCTGGCCAGAATTGCCTGGGATTCTTCCATGACTTTTCCAAGTCTTGACTGAAAACTACGGCTGGAAAGGATAAATTGTAGATTCCAGGTGCTATTTGTCCTCTAATGAATGCTGATCCTGGAGCCAAAAGAAATACAATCCCCTGCTTGCTTTTGAGGGTAGCTTGCTTTTGAGGGTATTTTTGGAGTAGTTGCAAACAGTGATATTTATCTGGAGATATGTGTGTGTGTGCGTGTGTGTGTGTGTGTGTGTGTATTTTTTAGGTAGTCAATAAACAAAATGTATTTATTTAAAAAATGTATTTTTGCATCATAAAAATAATACTGTGCTCACTTCATTCCATTTGTGTCAGGAAGAGTACTTGAATAGAAAACAAAAGCTTTCTCTTATCCCTCCCTGTCAGCAATAATAATTAAAGCCATACATTCTTAGCCAATAATTTTCTTATGCTGATATCATTATCTTTCTCCACAAATCCTATAAATTCTTAAAGATTCAGCCTTTATGCTACATTATCCAGATAACCTTTTTGGTGAGGACACTGGACAGAATTTCAGTAAAGGGACATTATCTTGTTACCAAAGCAGTAGTAGTTAAGACAATAACCCTTGGAGTGAGACAGATACAACTTTAAGTCCAACATTTTCCACTTTCTGTGTAATCTTTGGATTTTCTACAATTTCATCTAAGTTATAGTAAAATAGAGATAAAAATAGTCCCTAACTCATTTGGTTGTTGTGAGGATCAGATATAATAAGTCATACAAAGTTTAAGAACAGTTCCTGGCACCTTGTTATTTTTATTGTCGTTATTGTTGCCATTGTTATTTTTTCCCCAGAGTAAATGACTAATAAACTATTGTCTAAATAAGTACTTGGTAATTGAATAAGTGCCATTATGGTAGAAGAGAAAAACAAACAAATTACAAAGACAAGTCATAAGGAAAAAAGCAATTTTAAGTTATCATAAGTGCTATTAAAAAAGAGCTAAGAAAAAGAATGAAATGGGAGACCTGTTTTGGATAGGATCATCAGGGAAGGCCTCTCTAGGAAATGACATGTAAGGTGAGACTTAAAAGATGAAAAGGAGCTGGTCACACAAAGAGTATGGCGAACAGCATTTCAGGCAGAAGGACTAGCATATACAGAGACCCAGAGGCAGATACGCACATGGACCTGAAAGAATTGAAAGACCACTGGTGAGCTGGGACAGAATAAGGGCAGAGTGGCACCACATGAAATCAGAAAGTAGCAGAGGCCAAACACAAAAGGCCAGTGTGGAGAGTTTGGCTTTTGGTCCAAGTGCAAAGGAGAGACACTGTGGGTTTTCAAGCAAGGGAAGGACACGATCCTCAGGCTTACTCAATCCATGACTCACAAAAACAAACTGAAGAAGAATAAGAGTTTCTGAAAACATTTGGAACTTGTTTTTTAGAGAAATTAAGAGTATAAATGTAGACTAAAATATTTCCCATTATGATTGAAGTTATTGATTGCCAGCAAACAAAAACACTTTAGGTGGGGAACTTTTCTTCAGAGGGAGAAGCAATCTTTAATAAAGATTTAATCCACTTCGTTTTCTTTGACATCTGTAATGAATCCACAGGGGACAGTGTGACCCACCTCAAACAGAGGATAGACAAAGGGAGAACACATGCTAAGCAGGAAGGGTTAGAGTAACTGAGAAAGAGGCCAAGGCCTATGCGGGCCTAGAGTAAAAGCACAGTCTGAGTTGAGAGCACCACATTAGACAAGAGATGATTTGGAGGATACTGTGAAATAGATTTCTCAGAGAAAAGAAGAACAGGATTCCAGTATACAATTAGTGAGACATTGACTGTTAAGGGTTGGACCTTCTGGTACAAATGCCCTAAGGGAACTTATAGAATATTTAAATTTATTTATCAGATAATTGTATTTTTCATTATCCTGTGGTAACAGGTCTTTTCCATTGTAAGATTCTTCCTGCAGTGTTGGAGTTCATTCCCTTTCTTGAAGCTGCTTCATCTTGATACTCTTTTTTTTTTTTTTTTTTTAAGCTGCTTCATTTTAGAGACTCACATGGCAATAATTAAGACCACTGACATTAATAACAAAGTGTTTCTATTTCCCCATTATATATTGAGCAATTAAAATAATTTCCTGTCTTATACAAGGAAATTTATTCCCAAAGGAAAAGCCTATGGGAAAACAGTGGCATGCCCAGATCCCCATTACATGTTCATTGATAACAGATTATTTTAAAAGGGTACATAATAGCTGAAATCTCCAAAATGCGTCAGTTGTTTTCTCAAATTTTTCTGAAAACCACCAAACAAAATTAAAGTACTACGAGACAACATGTGCCATAAAAACAACTTTGGAGTTACTTTTAAATTTTTTCCTGGAGGATGAAGGATAGCTTATTGAATGTCAGTTATGAACTTGGTGACAACTAATTATCTTTCATTTCACAGCAGCTGATAATAAGTAAGAGCAAAAATGGTGAATACCTACTGTTGCCAGGTAACTGCATCTACTGTACTTCCTGCCACCTTCATGAATCTGTAAGGAATAGAAAGAAAAAAGATATTACAACTTAGATCAAACCACATCCCCCAAATCAAAAGGAAATGAACTGAGACAGATTAGACCAATGCCTAAGCAGGTATGCTTTCTGAGAGGATCCTCTACAGCCACAGTCAGGGCCTAGACATAGCTATCGGAGGTTGAACTATACAGAAAGTGAAAGTAACCATACTTCCAGCTCCCCACACATCCCTCACCATCTGGAAATCAAAATCCCAATAAGGCATTCTATCTACATCTGTCTTCCCAAGCCCATGCCTGATGGCTCCCACATCAATTTCCTCATAACCAAAACTTGTCTATCCCATTTCCTATTCTCTAAGGACTCCAATCTCTGATAGGAAACAAACAGTAATATTTCCCAAAGATGACAGCACAAAAGATGCCTTTGAAAAACTTCAGGCTTTCCTAGAACGAGCATGAGAAAACTCAATTATTTATACAAGTAAAAAGCACCATCAAATATGCCCCAATGAGGGGCTGCCACACCTGTCTAAGTGTAGAAAGTTGAGCACCACAAAGAGAAATCTATCTACTTTTGGAGCAGTTAAGTAGTGAACTGAGTATTATCTGATAATCATGCTCAGCTCAAAAGGTAAACCAGACTTGGTTCCGTGCAGTTAAGCACACATCAAAGCCTTGCTAGCAGTTCCCCACCTTCTGTGTTTCTGGAGGTTCCAGGAAAATCAGTAGAACACGAAGATGCATCTGGGGGCCCAAAGATGACACAGGGTCTCTCATAAATTGCATGTCTGTGAATAACTCAATTATCTACCTACCTCCTTCTCCCTATCCACATGTTCTTAGGCCGTGTGCTATCATGGTTATAACTACGAGTTGAGGGAGTCAACTAGTAGTTACCAAAAGGAATATCTCAGCTCTTTAAGAAATTTCTTTTATTTGGAGACCCTGGTGGGGAACTTTTCTTCAGAGGGAGAAGCAATCTTTAATAGTACTTCTTAACTGAAGAATTCTTCCTCCAGGGAGAAAGATGGTGTTTTGTCTAGAAGGCCCTATCTCTACTTTACCCCAGCATAATATTGCAAGGCAGATGCATGTTGCTCATGCTCAGTGGGTTGCTGTGTGTGGCCTAAACAGAGGCTCTGATTTGCTGTGAGAGCAGAAGAGAATTGAGTCTCTCTAGAGGAGTACATAAGATAAACATAGGGCTGGATGCCAGGACTGTTGGTTAGCATTAAAGTGAAGTTTATAAAAGGAGAGGAAAAGAAGAAGGGGAAGGACACAATGGGTGTGAAAAGGGGGGGAAGAAAAAGAGAAGGAAGAGGAGGAGGAGAAGGAGGACAAGGATGGAGGATGAGGAGAAGGCCACAGAAGCCATGGCTTAGCCTTTGTCTGAATGGTTTTGCCTTTCTTTCTCCAGTACCATTCAGCAGTCCTCAAGCAAGAAAGTAGAAAATAGCACATGGGAATGATCAAGGAATAGAACTGGTTTGATGAGCAGGGCCAAAATGTCAATGTGGGCTGGAGGTAATGTAACATTTACTGAGTACCTACTGAGTGCCAGCCATTCACATGTTATTTCTTATAATTCTTAAAAATGCCTGCTTGGTAAGGTGGATATTGTGAATTCCATTATAGAGATTACCAGCTTCCCTACTGGCTACAGAAGTACATCTCCTAACACTCCAAATAGCCAGTTTTTGATGGAGTCATGCCAACCCTCCTAGCAGCAGACATTGGGAAGCATGGCACAGATATCCTCTGCTTTTGAAGCCAACGGATTTCTCTTTCTCTTTACCTCATCTCCTTTCCCCAGCCCAGGACAATCTCTTTTGAGTTTGGGAGAGTAGCTCTACTCTCTTCACTATTTCTGGACCTATGCCTCTAAAATTCCTCTTCTGGAATTCAAAAGCCAGAAAGATTTGTGCAGTATTTGCCTTTCCTCCTGTCATGCGCTACCCTGTCAATAGGCACACAACCAGCTCTTGAATGGATAGAAGGAAAATGGAAAAATACAAGGAGAAAGAAAACAGATTAATATTCAAAATATTATCCCTGCCATCTATGCTGCTCTAACTAGGGAAGATCTGATAATAATCTTAGAAGTAGGATGGCCCAAGAATGAAGAGGAAGAGACGAAATTTTGTACCTCCTTCTCAGATATTCAAAAAATTAAAAAACCTAGATAATCTTAGACACAAGTGTCATTTCAAAGAAAGAAATGTAAAAACAAAAGTTTACATGGAATTTACTCCTCCAAAATAATTTCTAAAATCTCTGAAATAGAAATATTTTATGTAGGGATGGGGCCAAGATAGCCAACTAAAAGCAGAGATGATCAGAGGCTCCCATCAAAAAAACCAAAAAAAACAAAAAAACAACAACAAAAAAACGATAACAGCGAGCCAATCTTGCACCAGCAACCAAGGTATTCAGGTTCTGTCATCAGAACTGACTAGGCAGTTGGCGTGACCCACAGAGAGGAAGGAAGAGCAGTGTGGTGCTGTAGCCCACTTGAGAGCCACACAGGGCAGGGGAGCCCCCATCCTCAGCCAGGAAAGGCAGTCAGTGAGTGTGCTACCCAGCCTGGGAAAACGTGCTTTTTTCATAGAACTGTGTAACCCATGGATTGGAAGATCCCACTTATGAGTCCACACTACTGGGGCGAGGGTCCCAACCATGGAGCTGCATAGATTCTCAATAGCCACTAAGCTAGTATCTGCTTAAGCCTGCTGAGCTCCCAGGAGGAGGGGTGACCAGCACCACAGCTGTGGCTCCCTGCTGTCTAAGCTGTTTGAGCTCCTTAGGGGAGGGGCGACAGCCAATTCTGGGACCCATAGCTGCCTAACACACTAAGCTCCCAGGGTTGGGGAAGGGCAGCAGCCATCTCTATAGCTCCAGGCTGTGCTTTTCCCCTGCTGGAGCCAGGGATGATGGACAGCTTAGTCTCAAGAGGTATCCACCGCAGCCCAATACAGGGGCTGTGGCAGACTGCTGACGGAGTGCCTCTTCAGGCCTGACCTTGACTCATCCCTCCTCACTGTGTGGGGCCTCTCTGCAGGAACTCCAACAACTTTAGCCAGGGAGTCAGGGACAGAACTCTGATCTCCCTGGGCCTGAGTCCCTAGCAAGAGGGGTGGCCACAGTCTCTGCAGACCAGCAGACTTAGTCTTTCCTCCTGCTAGTTTGGTGAATCCAGGCAGCCCAGACAAGTGGGTTTCCCCCAAGTGAAGCACATCCCTTCAGTCAAAGTGCTTCATTAAACAGGTTGTGCTCTCCCTGCCACCCACTGGGGTGAGACCCTCCAACAGGGTTGTCAGACACCCTATAGAGGAGTGTTTCTACTGGCATCAGGTCAGTGCCCCTTGAGGTCAGAGATCCCAGAGGAAGAAGCAGGCACCCATCTTTGCTGTTCTCCAGCTTCCTCAAGTGACATCTCCAGGCATGGGAGTGAGCTGAACTGAACCCCCAGTGAACCGCAGTGGCCCTACAGAAGAGGGACCTGACCACTGCAAGAAAAACAAACAGAAAGCAAAAACAATAGCATCAACAACAACAAAAATGTATACCTGATGTAAATGACGAGTTGATGGGTGCTGATAAGTTGATGGGTGCAGCACGCCAACATGGCACAGGTATACATATGTAATAAACCTGCACGTTATCCACATGTACCCTAGAACTTAAAGTATAATAATAATAATAAAAAATACTCGTATATTAGTTGACAAAGAATTTCAATTTTTTAAAAGTAACAAATAATAATTAAAGATTTTGTGAAATATTTAGGTAAAAAAAAAAAAGTCCCTACAAAAACCCCATCAAAGATCTATAGTAGACAAACTCATGAAGATGAGAAAGAACCAGCGGGTGGGGGGGGGGGGGGGAAACACTGAAAACTGAAAAGGCCAGAGCCCCTTTTCTCCTCAAAATGGGCACAGAACTGGACAGAGGATGAGATGGATGAATTGACAGAAGTAGGCTTCAGAAGGTGGATAATAACAAACTCTGCTGAGCTCAAGGAGCATGTTCTAATCCAGTGCAAAGAAGCTAAGAATCTTAATTAAAGGGCACAGGAGCTGCTAACTACAATAAGCAGTTTAGAGAGGAACATAAATAACTTGAAGGAGCTGAAAAACACAGCATGAGAACGTTGTGAAGCATACACAAGCATCAATAGCCACATCAACCAAGTAGAAGAAAGGATATCAGAGTTTGAAGACCATCTTGCTGAAAAAGGCATGCAGACAAGATTGGAGAAAAAATGAAAAGGAATGAACAAAACCTCTGGGAAATATGGGACTATGTAAAAAGACCGAACATATAACTGATTGAAGTACCTGAAAGAGATGGGGAAAATGAAACCAAGTTGGAAAACACACTTCAGGATATCATCCAGGAAAACTTCCCCAACCTAGCAAGACAGGCCAACATTCGAATTCAGAAAATACAGAGAACTCCACTAAGATAATCTACGAGAAGATCAACCCCAAGACACATAATCATCAGATTCCCCAAGGTCAAGATGAAGGAAAAAATGTTAAGGGCAGCCAGAGAGAAAGGCCAGGTCACCTACAAAGGGACTACAATCAGACTAAGAGTGGACCTCTCAGCAAAAACCCTACAAGCCAGAAGAGAGTGGGGGTCAATATTCAACATTCCTAAAGAAAATAGTTTTAAACCCAGAATTTCAAATCCAGTCAAACTAAGCTTCATAAATGAAGGAGAAATAAAATCATTTCCAGACAAGCAAATGCTGAGAGATTTTGTCATCACCAGCCTGCCTTCCAAGAGCTTCTAAATGAAGCACTAAATATGTAAAGGAAAAAACCAGTACCAGTCACTGCAAAAACAAACCAAAATATAAAGACCAATGACACTATGAAGAAACTGCATCAACAAGGGTGCAAAATAACCAGATAGCATCATGATGGCAGGATGCAATTTACACATAACAATATTAACCTTAAATGTAAATGGGCTAAATGCCCTGATAAAAGACACAGACTGGTAAA